TGTTGACAAATGAATATTGCATGTATTTATAGTGGATAGTAGGATGCTTTGAAATACATATATACCGTGTGGAATGACTAAATTGAGCTAATTAGCATATGCATCAACTTGCATAATTATCATTTTATCATTTGTGTGTGCATTAAGAACACTTAAAATCTATTCTTTCTGTATTCTCTAGGTCTATGATACATTGCTATTAACTATAGTCATTTTTTATGGTAATGTCTCTTGAACTTATTCCTCCTACCTAACTGAAAGTTTGGATCCTTTGATCATTGTCTCCCAGTGCTTCCCCACAGTCCCTGGTAACCACAATTCTACCCTCTGCTTCAAGTTTTTTAGATTCTATTTGTAAATGAAATAATGTGATATTTAGCATTCTGTGTCCAGCTTATTGCATTAACATATTCTTGTTCAGGGCCATCTGTGTCATTGCAAATGGCAGGATTTTTTTTTTTCATTGTTAAGGGTGAATAGTATTCTGTAATATATACAGACCACATATTCTTTATCCATTCATCCATGATGGAGACTGAAGTTGGTTCCTCATTTTGGCTGTTGTGAATGTTTAAAAGCTTCTCGCCATTACATCTGCACAAATGGAACGCAACTTAGTAAATACCTGCTAATGTTTTGCATTTCTGTTGTTCACTCAACAGATAGTGAGAGAGTACCTTTTTCTGAGGAAAAAGTCACTTCAAAATTCACCTAAGTCACATTGTTTTGCCAAGGCATTTATCACTCCTCTCTTTTGGGAGTAGATAAAATGTGTGTGTGTCAGGGGAGGAGGGAGGAGAGTGAGAGTCTTTCCATAATTTCTTAAAAAAAAATAATGTAGGATAAATTAATGCAGTAAGCCTTTTTCTCCTGACAACATTCTGAATCTTCTCTAATCTTTCAAAATAAAAGGCAATATCCTCTCTTTAGAAGACCATCCTCACAGCAGTAATGTCTTTCCTTTGCTTCTGAAGCATGCCTGCTACTGTATCATCATCACCGTGACCCCCACCTCTTCCTCCCACCTCCTGGCCCTCAGCTCCCACACCAACCCTTCATCAGTCACTGGCACCATGCTCTGCTTACACCTGCATCTTCACTTTCTGCCTCGTGGTGCATTTCTTCCTTCTTAACCCCCTTCCCCCAAGCAAACCAATCATCCCAACCTGTCTGTCCCTTGAGTGGCTCTTTGCTTGGCATCCCTGGCCTGCCTTTCCTCCATGCTGCCCGAGGTGTCCTCCCCACCCCTAAGACCCATCTCAACTTCTGCCTCCTCCATGGAACCTCCTGAGATCCTACAGGGGAAATTGCTGGCCCTTTCCCTCTGTTGCCCCTAGCTCTCCTCAGGTGTAGCCTACCACATCCTCAGGCCTACACGTGACCCAGTTCTGTTCTACGAGCAGATGTCCCATCCATGGCCAACTATGGCACTTGGATTCATGGACTGTTTGAATCCTGCTTCCCACCTCAGTTACTGTGCTTCCTCATTCATGTCCCACTAAATGTTTTTCCTTGGTGCTCCCTGGGTCCCTTTGTGCTCTGCCTCTGGCTGTGTGTAAGCTGGGATTGACTTCCAGAATGCAACTTTAGCCTTGTGTTAGTCCTAATCCTTATTGATCTTGCCAGAGTCCGACGTTATGGGCCACCTCGTCCTCTTGAAGTGTCCTCCTAATTCTTCACTTCCTGTCTCTTCTACCTGTGAACCCTCTGTCTCCTTCCTTGTTCCTCTCTTCTGTCTGTGACGCGAGGTATTCCCGGATGTTCCTCCTCTTCCTTCCCTCTGTTTTGTCTCCTGGTGATTTCATCCCCTGTGCTTGGCATCTCTGTGCCGCTGATTCCCACTTCAAGTTGCCCGTCATGGCTTTTATAAGTCTATTCCACGTGTCTACCCTCCTGATAGACTTCTCATTTTGGACGAATATTCTCAAATCCATTTGACCAAATGGATTTCAAAGTTCCATTTGAAACTTCCTCCTAATTTCTCAGTGCCTACTAGTGGCACCCACTGTTTTCCCAGTCCAAGGAGAATAAACTTCATGATCATCTTCATATTCAGTCAGTAGCCAAGCAACACCCACTGAAGCTTCATCTCCCTCTCCTCCTGGTCTTTGTTTTCTCATCCTGTGTGAGGCAATTTTATTTCTCCTTTGGCTGTTGGAATAGCCTCCTAATTGGTTTTACAACCTCCAGTTATTTTATTTTTTTTTCTGGTATATCTTACACAACACAGATGGCTTTTTCTAAAACCTGTTGCACTAAATAAATCCCATCTTAATATTCTTCATGGATTCTGATTATCAACTTAGTAAAATGCAAACTTATTGGCTTGCCAGGTTTTTCATGATCCTTACCTACCTTTGCAATTTTATCTAAAGTTCTGCCTTTAGTTTTGGTTCAGTTCTTAGTGTCTGATAGCAGTTATCGTGCCCAGTAAAGAGGAGCTAACATTTTGTTAAAAGCTACTAAATACTTTAAATATGTCATCTAGTTTAATAATCAAAAGCTTTCGTGAAGTGGGTTTTAGTCCCCTTAATCAGTGGTGTAGATTGAATTTATATTGTAAGAATGTTGAGAATCTCCCTTTAGAAGTCTGTTGGGTTTTGTAATTCTTTCATGAATTGCTAGTGCATAGCATTGCATTTTTTTCTCTGTAGGAGTTGATGTTTAACTTATTGATTTATAAGATTAATATATTAAGAGCATAACATTTTATCCCAGTTAGTTTTTCTCTTTTAACTTAGACTATATTTCTTCTGTGGTGCACATTATGTTATTTTTTTTAATATTGTCTCTACTAACATTCTTTTCCTATGTTGTCAAAGCCCTTCCCCACCTCTACAATTTCTATGGTTTAGCTTTTACATTTCAATATTAGGTACAATTAGAATTCATTGTCAGGAGTGAGACAAAGACTTTTGATATATTTTTCATAAAATATCTCAATAGTTATTCTTATATCTAATAAATTCCTCTTTTCTCCCATTATTTGAAATGTGGCCCCTATCATAGAACCTCATTTAAACTCTAAGAATGATCTGCTTAAATACTTAATTCTGTGGATCCTTTATGTGCTCATTAAGAAGAGAGTTTTTGAGTATTTAAGTCATATAAATAAAGACAAATCAAAGGAAGCTGATTTTTTTCTCCCCACCAAAACAAACTAACTCTTTTCTAAATGCACCTGAATTCTCTGGACATTTTTGCAAGCAGTCAATTTGCAAATGAGCAGGCCAGGAAGAGGGGCTACTCTGGCCGCAGGGAAAGACCTTTCCTGGATGTCTGATTCTTTTCTTTGTAGGAGGCAGATGAGAAAATAAGCACCTGTGATAGTTCCATGGTACAAATTCTGGCACCAGACTCACTAAACACTGAGCAAAACCTAGCATTTTCCCCGAAGCTCAACCAAACAGAAGAGGTAAGTCCCTGTCAGTAACAAGCCAACTGCTTGGCTACCTGAACTGTCGCCAGAGGTGACCAGCTTTCTGGGTTCTGCGATCCTTTGTGTGCCAAGCCAAGTGTTCTTTGTGAACTGTCATGTCTGTATGTGTGCTTTCAAGCTACTGAAATGGAAGATTCTCCATCATTCACATAGAAAATAAGCATGGCATGAAGCAGGGAGACCTTTCTCCACTTGGTTACCCTTTGTGGTGTGAAGTAGTCTTCCCGTTAGTGACTTCTTCCGTCTGTACACACTGCATCTGGGGGCAACGAAAGTGGAGAAGAGCTAAGGTTGACTAATGGCCTACTACATAAAAGGCATTTGTATTAGTTGTCTGTTTAATCTTTGGATTAGATGAAGCGGGTTAATGCCTGCCCACAAGTTTACAAAAGAGAAAATCAAAATTCAGAGAGTAAAACACTGGCAGTCACTGGGAGAGTAAGGAATCAATTACAGAATTTTCCAGTCTACCCTTCTTCATTTGAGATATTTTTGTGGTGCACATTGTTTCTCAAGAAAGCCCTCTAGGGAGCCATTTCCCAGGTTGGTTTTGGTGGAAATAAAGCTCCATGGGTCTCACCGAGTAGCTCCCCAAAAAAGATCCTGACCTGCTTTCTCCCCTCCTTCTCCTTTTTGGTCTTTTCTCCCAATTGTTTGTCCTTGTATATATATATATATATATATATGAGTTGTCAAATTGTTATTCCTCTTTGCCCTTCTTCCCTTTCATTCTCTGTCTCTCTTAACAATATGTGCCTAGCAAGGCAGACAAATGTCACAGCTTAACACCCGCTGGCAGTACTTCTTGTCTAAGAAAGTTGCTGACCTCACCCATAGTTTTGTTTGTTTTTGTCTTTTGCTGGCCAGAATTAATGTTTCTTTTGACACCTAATTAAAAATCAGACGTAGCTTCAGTTGTGCTTTGGCTGCAGCGGGCATTCTGCGCAGTGTATTTCTCCGGGGGTGGGCGGGCAGGTTGTTTTGCCCTGGCAGTGTCAACAGCACATAATGGTGGTGATAAGAGAAAGAGGTAAGGGGAGAGTAACAAAAATCCACTGAATACTTCCTCTGGGCCAGGCACTGGGGTTCTACATGTGGTCTCTCTGAATCCTCACGTCAGCTCTGTAAGGTCGTTACTGCCGTTGCCCCAGTTGACAGAAGGAGACTTAGACGTTCGGTTGTCCAAGGCCACACAGCTCCTGAGTGGCAGAGTGAAGATTGAAACCCAGAACTTCTCCCTCCAGGTTTAGAACTTGAGCTTTCCACTGGAAAGCCCCAGTGACTCTCTTAAACTGATGTCTGTGTAGGTATATTCATATTTTCTTCCTAACAGAACTCTTGTCCTGGGGGTGCCTTGTGGATTCTTGAAGCCCTCTTTTGATCAGTCAGGGTCCTTTCCTCCTGCCTTTGGTCATTTCCGTTTCATTGACCCAACAGCCAGAGAGGGAAACGGGGAGCTCCAGAGACCAGGCCACCTGTGTCATCAGCCAAGCATTGGCCTCTGCAGACTTTTTGGTTTAGAGATCAAGGGCACTGACCAAACGAGAATTGTGCAATTTTTAGTAAAATTCAGAGTCATCTGTGACCCAGATTGCATTGAAGAATAAATATTTAATACAGAAAGTGAAACCAAAGTGGGCTTGACCTCACAGAATAAAGACTGCCGTGCCGTTCCAGCAGCATGTCGCAGGTCTGTGCTTGTGCAGGTGGACGTGGCCCTTCAGGCAGGCAAGCTCTCACTCTGTGCAAAGTGAGGAGGATGCACGGGTATTGGTAGAATTGACTCAATAGAAGGAGTAAACTTGAAGGCTTGATACCTTGGTACACAGAGTGACTGTAGCCAGTAAATTCACTTGCCTTTTAACCACAGTCCCGTTGTTGAGATGTGTGATGTGTCTATACAGAAATCCAACAGTGTGACTCCCTGAGGGGTTAACCTGCACACTAGAGAGCTAGTAAAATTGTGTCCAAAAGGTGGATTTGTAGATTCCACAGCAGGGTGAAAACAGGACGTGAATTCTGGTTCTACTTACTAATTAATTGGGTAACCACAGGCCGTTTGAATAGCCTCCCAAAGCCTCGATTTCCTCAGCTGTATACTGGGAATAAACACAGGCTTGCAGTGTGAAGGAATGAGGTGGTCTTTATTACATGTTTGGCACAGTGCCTGGCGCATAATAAGAGCTCAGTAAATGTTAGTGTCATTAGTTATGTCATAGACGTGACAACTGTGGCTAATGCTTTGAAGCCTCCCACAGTGTACAATTAGAAGACCTTCGTTTACATGATTTCTGCCTTAGAATCTGGGGCTATTATCCAGGGAAGCTGTTTTGCTGAGATGCTATTAGGGAAACAACTAGGGACTCATAATTTAAAGATCACAGAGCTGTTGACCTTGGACAACTGGAAGCAAGTTGGTGAGGTGGGAGGCATGTGAACTGATGACACACAGGCGCAGGTGTCTTTGACTGTTTAAAAAAAAAAAGACATAGACAAACTGCTCACTGGCAGGTTCCTGAGGCCACTTTCAGCTTTGCAAGTTTCTACGGTTGCAAATAATCTTTTTTCTCCTACCCCACACCCCTTAGATTCTCTTCAGGTTCAAATTACCAGCCAATAAAGCCCAGATGAGTCATCCAGCTTGCTTATTTCCTCAGTGATTTTATTAGTGAGAAAGCAAAGAAACAAAATGTCTTTTAAAATGTGTGTGGCATATAGGAGGGATACATCAAGAAGCCAGATGGCAAATCATTTATTATCAATTAATTAATATTCACAGGTTGCTATGTCAGGTGGCAAAGAAAGGGGATCCCCAAGTCTTTTCCAGTTAAGATTTAAGTAATAACTGAAAAGTAGAAAATAATTAATCAGCTAGGTGTGGTTTTGCTGAGGCAGGAGGATCACAAGTTCAAGGCCAGCCTGATCAGTTTAACAAGACCTTGTGTCAAAATAAAAAATAACACGGGCTGCGGAAGTAGCCCAGTGGTAAAGCATCCCTGGGTTCAAGAACCCAATACAAGGGAAGAAAAGAAGGGGATTTATCAGGTGGCTAGAAATTGGTGGTTTGCAGTAATACCACTCAATTGTTGCTTTTTTTTAAAAAAATCAAGATTAAAAAAGAAAATTGAAATAAGTGAATCCAGGTATTAAACCTGACTGTATATGAAGTTCAGAGGAAAACAGAAGTCAGGGGGAAATGTCTTTAAGAGGGTGATTCTTGAATAAAATTATAAAAACAGATCGATGAAGGCAGAGGAGAAATAGGGATTTGCAGAAAAGAGCAATATGCATGAAGTTAATGGATGGTCAGAGGGAAGAAATTCAAGCCAGAGACACTTCTTCCAAACCAGCTTTCATAACACTATCAGTGTGTAAATGAATGATATTTTCATACTTTGCGTGATTTTATTACCACCTACCAGTTTTCTTCACTCAATTGCATTGAAAGTTTTGTGTTTAAATAAAATTTCACAAATATTCAGAAATGTGCATTTGCATTGAATTAGGGTATGCATTTGTGAGCAGTTCTTATTAGAAGTTTGTCACCTGACCCAGATTGTGCTTTACAACTTGCTAACAAAGTCTTCTATGGATAACATTATAATTTATCAAAATTACAATAAAATATTTATAGGGAACGATACTTTCATTCAGCAAAACAAACCTTTATTAAACTAAAGGAATTTCTCTCCAAGGGCTGATATACTTTTTCAATATTCTAGAGAAGGATAATTAATATGGTGGAAGGCAAATATTTCTTTGAATGAAATCTTTTTTTTCCCTCCAAATTGAAAACATCTGATATAATTATTGAAAAACTTTCACTTGCTAACTGGAGAAATTTTACTATTGCATTGATTAGCAGCCCAGTTATTTCAATATGAAAGAACACATCATTCTTTTCTTTTTTATTTGTTCTACAGTCAATTATACATGACAGTAGAATGGAATATATCATTTTTTCTATGTTAAGTACTTGGTCTCTAACTCAATATATTATATTTGAGGATCTCGAAGGTGAAATTTACTTTAGATATTTGTTCTGAGGAAGAGGAGGAAAGTTTTCAGATGCCTCTGCTCAAGTTCATAACTTGACTCAAGCAATTTTTACCAAGGAGAAGTTGAGATGAGTAATAGCATGTATGTTGAAAGAAAAGCTAAAATCCTTTATAATCTCATTACTTGGCTTATTTCATTGTATGCCTGCAATATGTATAGGTCGTTTTTTTGTTTTGTTTTGTTTTGTTGTTTTTTCCTGTTTGAATGGAGTGCAGAGTAATGTAAGCATTGCTTAATCCTGGGTCATGCAACTTTAAACACTGGCCAGTTCCTGCGGTGTTTGGGACACACACACCCACATGCCCACACTCTCTCCCACACTCTCACCTCTCTCCTGGGGCTCACCGCTCAATGAACTGAAAGCCCATTCGCTTCCTCTGTGCCCAGGAATACTGTACCTGTGTACATGCAGATCGGCTGCTTAGAAACCTGTGCCACCAGGTCACGTGATTGTTGCTATGAGTGTGGAGGTGCATTTTTCTTTTCTTTCTTCCTTCTTCTCTTCTTATTTTGTTTCTTTTAACTGGGGAGAAAGGTTGTGGGTCTGCAGGTCTTTGCCAGCCCAAGTCTGAAATCTTTGGACTCCTGGCTCATCACTGCTGGATTATCTTTGGGTTTATCTTAGGGTCCCACTTCTCCTATCAAGGCTGCAGCTCTGGACTTTTCTGATAAGCCAGGAGATTTTGAGACCTCAGTGAAGAGAACTAGGGCCCGGCCTGTAGAAGTCCTCCATGTCTGCAAGACCCAGGTGGCCGAGCTGGAGCTGTGGCTGCAACAAGCCAGCGTGGCATTTGAGCCGGAAACATTAAACGCAGACATGCAGCAGGTGGTGGAACAGGAACTGGTCGGGTGCCAGGTAAGACCGATGGGCCAGTTCGTAGTTTGCCTCTTCACCAATCACCAGCCAACTCGGGGCTGATTTCACTTAAAGCAACAGTATGTTTCTTCTCTCTCTCTGACTCTCACATTTATCTTTGCCTTAACTTGTAGTTCTTTGAAATGCTTTATGTAAGCAGCATATTTGGGAGGACAGCAGCTCAGAATATGGAGTCCAAATCCAGTTCTGTCACATTAACTATGAACTTAGAGAAGTTAACTTCTCAGCCCTAATTCTCCTATTATAGTAGATTAGCTCATAGGATTTTTGTTAGGATTAAATGAGACAAAAACAAAAAACAGTGTCTGTTATATAAGGTATATAAAAGGTGCTCAATGCCAGGTTCGATGGCGCATGCCTGTAATCCCAGCAATTTGGGAGCCTGAAGCAGAAGGATTACAAATTCAAGGCCAGTCTCAGCAATTTAGCCTTAAGCAACTTAGCAAGACTTTGTCTCAGAATTAAAAAATATATATATATGGGGCGTTGGGGGTACAATGGTTAAGTGTCCCTGGGTTCAATCCCCAGCACCCCCGCAAAGAAAAAAGTGCTCAAAATTTTTATTAATAAATCTAAGTACGTGGAATACTTATTCATCAGAAATGAAACTGAGTGTTCTGATTTCCAAGATTGCAAATACAGCATGAAAGGGCTTTACAGCCATTTGACCAGGAATGCTCCCGGTCTTGCTTGGGAGGAGCAAGGACATGGACTTCCTTGACTTTAGTCACTTTAAGCAAAACTTGCCAGCTCAGCCCAAAGGTTGGCTCTCTGTCCCACAAGGGAGGGGCTAGAATGATGACATCGCAGCAGCATAATTGCATGTCACAACAGCAGAGACCTGCTGACTGCTTCCAGAGCCTCTCTCCCTCTGCACTCAGGAGACCAGCCGCGACTTGATGTCTACCTTGTTGCCTTGTTTATCTGCCAGAGATTAGGACACTCTCTTTTCTCAGAGTACCCCACACCACCAGCCTGGCCACAGGGAGCTCTTCCTGCAGTCACTTGCTATGTGATCGGAATGGCCTGCCCTTCAACCAGGGGCATTCTCCCCTGCTGCTCAAGCCCACAGCCTTACCGCATCCAGATCTGCCTGCAGGGGAGAGGACAGGCAGCTGCTCTGACCTGCTTCTCAGGGCAGCTCAGCACCTCTGACCCCAGTGGTCAGTTCTGAATGGTCAGTTCACTCGGATACTGACAGAGTCCAGCTGAGCACTGTAGCACAGGCCTATAATCCCAATGGCTTGGGAGGCTGAGGCAGGAGGATCACAAGTTCAAAGCCAGCCTCAGCAACTGTCTCTAAATAAAACACAAAATAGGACTAGGGATGTGGTTCAGTAGTTGAGTGCCCCTGGTTCAATTCCCGGTACCAAAAAAAAAAAAGATAAGTCCAACTAGCACAGGGTAAAGCCATGCTTAAACTGAATCCAAGCCAGTCCAGGTTTTGATTCTCAATCATTTAAGGCCGTCCCATATCATTTGCCAACTGATTGTGTACTGACTAGGGAGGCTTCATGTCAACTCCTTGATCATCACTGGAATCCTCTCCTCGCCTCTTGTATCTACTTTGAGGATGTGGGGGTTACCCAAAGAAAAGACATGACCACCAGGTGGCAGTAGCGCCCAACAGGCTTTATGTGGGCAGGACTTTGACAGGATTGATTTTTAGAGTCACAGAAGTTCTTGCAGAAGCCTGGGATGAGGCAGATGGACACTGCAGAGGGGAAGAGGACAAGGAAATCAGTGAGGGGTGTTGTGTGTCTAGGTCATGTCCTTGAGCAATGTTGTGTCCAGGTCAGAGAGTTCCACAGGGCAGCAGAAGCTTGGGACTTTCTATAGCCCCAGGGTTTGTCTTATCCATGGCTGGCAGATGTCAGGTGTAGTTTTAGGAGTATACAAAGCAGGCAGGCTCTATATGACTGAAGATATGCTCATAGGGTTATATTTAAAGCCACTACATATATAAAAAATGGGGTTTGAGCTAATGGTTCTGACTTATTGGAAAGAAATAAATAACATAGGGGCCAATATATAAGGGCCATCTCTGGCTCATTTATATAATAACATGACACCTATGATTTCATATTGAAACATAAAAATACCTTGAAATTGTCTATAAATACTAAGTTCCCAGAGGGAAAATGGCCAAAGGATAGGAACAAACAAGAAAAATTGTATTTGGTAATTTAAATTTGAAAAGAGCTGTTCAATCTTGATAATTAAAGACATTTGAATTAAACTAGCTATTGTTTTGCTGTTGTAGTACATTAATAACAATTTTATCATCATGGCAAAACTCTAGCAAAATAGACCCACTAATGTGTAGTAGCTCTAATTGGTTCAGTGTTTTGAAGATCTGCGAGCATATAACATGTCCATCTTCTTTGACCTAATAATGCCATTACTTTAAAATTAACCTGTGCAGATAATCTGAAAGGAGAAAAATAATTATGGCAGCATTAATTACAAAAGTGAAGAACTGGTAACAACTTAAAGTAGTAACAAAGAAGGGAACCATGGAGTAGAACTATTAAAATGGAAACCGTTGAAAAATAAAGAAAGAATAAAGAAGGCAGGGGGAAATTAACAAGAGTCAACATTTTTTGCTTACCACTTTTTTAAAGCATGGACTATGTACATGATATTAACTCATTAAATCCAAAGGACATGGATTGAGGCCAAATCACATGGATTTAACTCATTAAAATCACCCTATGAGGTAAATTCTGTTATTATCCCCATTTTACAGATTGCTACAAGCATCTACCTACATCTAAAGCACAGTGCCTCAGCACACACAGGTGCCAAGTGGCAGGGTCAGGGTCCAGGCGACAATCAGGCTGGTTCTAGCATCTTGTTCTTAACCACTGTGCTCTACTGTGTACATTGTTCAGAGTTTTCTAAAGTGGTTATGAAATCATTTCTTTTTGATTATGACAGAGAGTGATATCTGCAATTGGGGTTGTTTTGGTTGCATTCCTACTGAAAAGCATAGGAATTCAGAGGAAGTTTTTGTTTGCCCGAGGTGGCTTCCATCCTGTCTTTCTGGGATTTCTTGTATACCTTTAGATAAAGAGAGGAAGCTTCACTTATTGGAAGAATAATACTTTGGGTGCAGTCCCCAGCATGAAAACAAAAAAGACCAACCCTGTGAATAATTCCTGATTTTCTTGCTTAGGCTATGCTGACCGAGATTGAGCACAAGGTTGCCTCTCTCCTGGACACTTGCAAAGATCAGGGCCTGGGAGATAGTGGAGCCACTCAACAGGAGGCCGAAGCACTCTCCCTGAAACTCAAAACTGTGAAGTGCAATTTGGAAAAAGTCCAGATGATGCTGCAGGAGAAATACAGCGAGGATCAGGTAAAATATGGTTTTGTGTAGACATATATCTCCATAGGCCAGAGCCAGCCAGAGGAGAACCCTGGGTGGAAATGATGCACCAACTACAGAGAAACTAAACACAGTAAGCAGGAATCTGTGAACTTGTGAACTGGAAGCCATGAGGACACTGGCTTTTGTTGCTTTTATTTCATTTTACTGCGGTGCAAGTGTCTTAACTAGGTTGTTGGTGGTGGTTTGGTTTGGGTTGGTTTGATGGGGTGGAGTGTACTTGCTGATAATAAGCTTTCAGGTAAGGCTTCTTCATAAGTGTATATGTTAACACAATTTTGTGACTCCTGTTGACCAGACAATGAAGGCTTTATAGATAAGTTGAAAATTTAACATGAGGAAAAACAAAACCTGCTTCCAGGGTACTTTTGTTATTCATTATTAATGTTTCTATATACTCTGACAGTATAGTAGACTACATTAGAGTGCTTTCATGATTTTTAAAAGCATTCTGTTTTTAGAAATAAAATGTTCATATCATGCATAGATCTTACTCTACAAGATTTGCATCCAAACTTATAAGTGATTCCTGCCTGGGGACTTCACATTCACAGAAATGAGACTGGCTGCAGAGACATAGGCCATCTGGTTGCCCCTTTCATCCTCCTTTTTTAAAAAATACATAGTTGAGACATGGGGAAAATCTGAGTTCATAAATGTTGTACCATTTCCCTGTTTGATTGATTGATTGATTGACTTACTTTGTTCTTAAGGAGAAAAGGAATAAATAAATAAATCCTGGCTTTTAGTAATTCATGGGATGAATTAGATTGAGGAAAGAAGATCGTTTCATCAAATGGAGTGATTTTTCACGATGTTAGAAATAAGTACATTAAAACATAGCATACAATTATATTACCTAACAAAGTCCTATCATTTACTTCCTATAACACTTTTCTGTTAGGTAATCCCATTTTTAGAGTTCTTAGATAAAGTGGGTCTTAATTTTTAAACAGTCTGCCATTGTTACATTTTTCTGCAGTACCCTACCATTCTAAGGAAACCTTCAGAACTCCAACAAGTCCTCCAGCCTGTTAACCTTCCTGAATTGGTACCTATTGTAACTGAAAGGCCACAATTTAGCAGACAAAGAGATGTCCCCCTGCAACAGGTAATTTTGGCCACTGGCCATCGTAAGGACAAGAGTAAAACTTTCTAGATGCAATTTCTCTTTGGGCCAAAACTTTGAACTGCCTTTGGAGGGTCTGCATGTGTGACCAAGTGCAGAATGTCAGGTGTGAGTGTTTGTGTGTGCAGCAATGCCGATTTTTGGATGTTTGCTGGTTTGCTTCCATCTGCTACTATTGGGGACACTCTAACTTTATTCCTTTATTAAGTTGTATCTTATATTGAACTAAGTAGAGACCTGCAGGGTAAACGTACCTCTGTGTCTACAACACTGCTTTGCATATTTCAAAACATGCTTATATGTTTTGGGTGATTTTTTTTCCTATGTGTCTTAATAGTTTAACATTTGATTATTGTGTGAATATTTTGAATGGATTTTTTGAAAAGTTAAGATTAACAACAATAGGGGCTGGGGTTGTGGCTTAGTGGTAGAGCACTTGCCTGGCATGTGTGAGGCACTGGGTTTGACTCTCAGCACCACATATAAATAAATGAATTAAAAATAAAGATCCATTAACATCTAAAAAAAAATTTTTTAAAAAGATTAACAAGAATAGGCAATCAAGAAAGAGAAATAGTCAACAATGACTTAAATCCTTAGGTACTAAATAAAAAACTGGATTGACTAGACCTTTTCAATCTTATTCAATTTTAGGTTCTGGAGTTAAAACCAATGGAACAGAAAGATTTACTCAAGTTTATAGAATTTAATGCTAAGAAAACATGGCCGCAGTATTGCCAACAGGATAAAGATACTACTCAGGGATCATCTGTGAGGTGAAATCATTTTAAATAGTTGGACATTGAGTAGATTTTTAGCTGGGAGAACCGTTTTGGTTTTTTTGTTTGTTTGTTTTACAAGCCACTCACAAAACATTATCTAAAGGTAATTCCTAAATTTCTTCATGCTGATGATTCTTTTTACCTTTTTCGCTTCCTTAAAAGCAACAAGGCATCTGGCCCTGAAAATGAAGCTCCAGACTTGATCTTTTCACCTCAGGGTCAAAACGGTGATAAATGGCAATATCTTCATCATGAACTGTCCTCAAAAATAAAGCTACCTCCTCCTCAGCTCGTGGAGCCTCAGGTCAGTCTGCATTCTGCACACACTGCAAGCAGCCCGCCCGCGTCCTTGGAAGCCAGCAAGCCCTCATTAAATAAACACATAGCCTCTGCATCATGTAGCAGTTTCTTTTCAGATAGCAAAGGTGCCATCTGGGTTCTTCACTTGTTCAATACTTTTTCTCAATTCTGGAACTCTGCCTCAGGTGCTCCTCCAGCACCGT